TCTAGGAACTACCAAGGAAAAAACAACTCCCCCACCAACACTGACAGGGCAAGTTACTGTACTGTATATAAACAGAGAGCAAACCCCACTCCCTTCTAGAACTGAAGATGTTACCTAGTTGGGTAATGAAATGTCTGCAAGAAAACAACCAAGCTCAGAGAACTCCAAGGACTCCATGATATAGTTTAAATCCAATCGTATTATGTTTGGAACAAACCATCGTACAAGATACTAGTTACAAAGAACATTTTGTAATTATAGCTCAAAGTATTAGATAAAGGATTATGTAAATATGATTTTGAAAGAAATTATCTATAATTGCCCCAGAAATATATAAGCACTTTGCTCTAAACACAGAATTTCCTTTTATTTTTTAAAAAATATCCATAAATTTATTACTTGTGTCCCAGACAACTAGCCTGGATATATAGCAGCAAGCACAGGATGGGTTAGAAGTGGCTATATGATCTCAAAATATATTATTGTATTATTAGCCTATTACCTAAATGACCAAGAATTGATTCCATCGGTTATATTCTTAACAAAACTCTCACTTGCATTTTTTCAACGAGATAGGAAAATTACCAGAGAGACAAAAACTTGAATTACTTCAGATACTAAATCAGCTGGTAACTACGGATGAACTACAGCAAGCTGGTAAGTGATGAATAGTAATATGTGATTTCATGATATTTGTATCTTTATATTCACATTTTTTTATAAACCGCTTGCTTGGTTTATAAATTTCTTGGTTCGCCAGTGGTGGAGATATATAACTGGGTATCATCAGTGTACTGTAGGATGACATATACCAGCAGTCTCATGTAGATGTTAAAGAGGAGGAACAAAAGATCTGAGCGCTGAGGCACCCCACATTGCAGGAGCCTAGGGTTTGACCTCTCACTCCCCACCAACACTGACTGGAACCTGCCACAGAAGGAAGGAGGAGAACCATTACAGGACAGTGCCCCCACTCCCAACCCCTGAAGCCAGCCAGAAGGATACCATGGTTGATTGTACTGAATGCTGCTGAGAGCTCCAGGAACAGATGCACCACCTTCATCCTGGACCCTCCACAGGTCATCCACAAGCATGAACAATGCTGTCCCAGTGCTGCAACCCCTCTGAACCGTGATTGAAAAGGGTATATATAATCCACTTCATCTAGGGTCCTCTAAAGCTGAGTACCTACCATCCGCTCAACAATCTTCCGTAAAGGGAGGTTGGAGACTGGTCAAAGTTGTCTAACATGGTTGGGTCCAAGGATAGCCTCTTAAGAAGGGAATGTATCACCACCTCCTTCAAAGCAGGTGGCACCACCCTCTTGTAAAGAGGCATTAATCACCACTTGGGCCTAACTGCATGCCGCCTCACAAGAGGCTGTAACCAACAAGAAGGGTATGAGTCCAGCACACAGGTGGCAGAGCTCATGGCTCCGAGGCCCCATCCACTTCCTTGGGAGTGACTGGCTCAAACTCTTTCCAGATAACAGAGCCCAGACCTACCTCAGTCAGTTCCATAGGATCTGCACAGCTAGAATCCAACTCCAAGTGAAGTGAAGCAACTTTATCCATCACATACCAAGAATATTCCTCACAGTGGCCCAGTAAGAGCTCCCCCAGGCCCTTCTTACCCAGAAGGGACCTGGTTATCTGAACAGGGCTGCTGGCCGGCTATCTGCAGATGCCATAATAGTGGAGAAGTAGGTACAGTTCACCACTCTTATGTCCACAAGGTAAGTCCTAATAAAGGCACTTACCTGTGCTCAGTTGGCTTTGCTCTTTGCCTTTTGCCAGTGGTGCTCTAGGCAACTCTTGTGTCATTTCATCTCCCTCAGCTCTACAGGATCCACACTCACGGAGAGTCCACACAGATACAATCCAATCCAGGGCCCTTGTTGCATGTTCATTCCAAACTGTGACCAATACCCCAGCCAAACTGTGCACCAGAGCTATGGGAAAAAAACCAAACTTTTTCTGAAAACTGATTAGGTCCAGCAGTCACCTGGGGTGAGCCAATCAAACAGGCTGCACCTCCCTGCAATGAGGCTTTGGCACAGAGAACTCCAGAGCCAACATAAGATTAGTTAAATAAGTTTCTTTCATACAGAACATGGTGGGGAGGGGGTTGTTGTTGTTTAGTCGTTAAGTCGTGTCCGACTCTTCGTGACCTCATGAACCATATTGCGCCAGGCCTTCCTGTCCTTCACTGCCTCCCTGGGTTTGCTCAGTTTCATGCTCATTGCTTCAGTGATGCTATC